TTCCCATTATTCTATTTCCATTATAAAATTATTGATTAAAAAAAATTTTTAGAAATGAGATTTTACCTTCATTGTACAGTGCTATTTTCATTAAATCATTCGCAACTCTTTCCCCTTCTATCTTCAATTCAGCAATATCATTTAATTTCTTTATTGCTACTTCTTTTAATCTGTCGATTGTTAACACAGTGTCATATAAAAGCTCTTTAATCCACTTTACACTTTTTTCATACTTCTCGTATTCAAACTGTATTAACAAAGATATGTTAGAACAGTTACAAATCGTTTCAAATAGTTCTAATTACTCTTATTAAAAGAAGAAATTATAAATTATATGTTACACATATAATGGATACATACTTGAAGCATCAAATAAACACTAGAAGATTTGTATGAGAATGCCATGGGCTTTTGAACACTAATTCGAGTAGTAGCTAGTGCAGTATCTGCTTTTAATTCATCTATTATTTCTTCATAAGGAATCAATTGATCATCTCTTTTCACCGGAGATTCCATAATGAGTTCTAGCAATAGTGGAATATATTTTTTGTACACTTTACTAATGGAAGTAGTGTCCATGACGATAAACATCTAGATTTAAATAAAGACTACAGTTAATTATATCATATTTGATAAATGATGTACGATTACGCTTGATATGAATATATAATGTCCTAAAATTTTTGTAAATAAACAAACAAATATTTCTTTAAATTAATTTTCAATAAAATTATACAATAAGAGAACAAGATACTCACATAAATAAAGATTGTATCGGCGTTCTCTAGATAGGTAAATAATGGTAGTAATTTGGCATCTAATTCAGGATGCTGCTCTGAAGAGTCCGTACTGTAATTTTCAATGTGACGAAAGACAATGGAATCTATATCAGGTACAGGTATACTTTCTAACACTTCGTCGGGTATATGTGACTTAAGAAAAAAAACATCATCAATAGCAAGAAGATTGCCAGTGGTAACTTTGGGTATAAAATATTTTAATTACACAAATATCTATCTTATTTTTAATTAAAACATTCACATACATTTTCGCTTATGGCTTGGGAAAGAAGTATATCGTTTCTCGCTAACCCAAGCATGCCGAATTCACGCATCCGATCGATTTTTCTTTTTCTCTCCTCTCCCGAAAATATCTTTAACATTTCACGGCTGGGTGTGCCTTTCACAACAACCATTGGAGTCTCAACAAAATATTTCTTGTAAAGATTGAACCAGTAACTTTTAGATTCATTTTCTAATATTTTGAGATAATGTATAATGTTCAACCTATGATTCAGCTGTTAATGAAAATGATGCAATCAATATTTTTAATAAAACGCAATTTATAAATAAATCATATGTGTAACATACTTCTTTGAGTGCTTTTCCATATAACATATGTTTAAACAATCCATTTGCGATTGTATTATGTGGATTATTTTCCAGATCATTTAAAATTTTAGTAATATATCTACGAATTATAATCCTCATTCTTTTTAATTCTATACCAACGTCAGTTGTATTTTTAAGTACTTTCATCACAGATTCCTTGACTAGAGGAACTTTACTACCCGGCACATTCGGAAACATTAAACTTAAAGCTGAAGTCGAGAATTCATGGAAGTAATATTCATAGGAAATCTGTTCCTTGGCAAATTCTTTCTGCAATACACCTTCGGTTGTGTCAGTCAAATATTGCGAGATTAAGCAAAAGCCAAAATAGTCATACAATTTGTTAATGGACGGTCCTTGCCAGGCTATACGAATATAAGCTCCAGTACATGAGTAGCACGGATATTGGAATTCTACATCTATACTTTTTGTAAGCGGTTTAATTGGAGTCTGCCAAGGTCTTTTAAATTCGCCTCTGTCTCCCTATAATTTTAAGATTAAAATCAAAATGATCACAAACACAAAATAAAGATTACAATGTCAAAATAATATATGTATATACACATAAATATGTAATAATATAATATATATTATTACATAATCACATATTCTAATTTATTATTAATATACAATATAATTTTTAACAAAATAAATTCATAATATTTTTCATTTATCCTTGATATGTTTATTTCTTTAATTTCTAAATTAAATTTCTAAATTTAATCCTAATTAATAATATTTAAATTAAAATAAAAAATGTTTAAATTAACTTACTTTTGATATTATTTTCTCTTCTAAAGGTAGTAACGTGTCTAAAATTTTAGTATGATCTACTTGACCTACTATTAACACAGTTAAGTTTTCTGGTCTATAATATTCTTCATGATACTGTCTGATATCTTCAAGAACAAGATATTCCGATATGTAATTCGATGTACCTGCAAGTATACAATAATAAATAATACTTGCAAACCCATTGCAATGAAATAATAATGAAATAATAAGCTGTAAGCTGTAAGAATTAATTGACAAATTATAGTAGATTATTCTTCTTATATTCGATCAATTTCTTACGTCTTACGACTTATTATCTCCATTGTAAACGATTCTTAGAGTAGGATAATTCGAAACTCTCTCGTCAATACTCATTTTCGTATATTCATTAAAAATTTTTCCCAACAAAATACTGATCTTAGTCCAATCAGATCCTCATAATTTGGATTTATTTCACATCGATTTACGCTTTGAGCTATAATTTTTTATAAAAATTATACTTATTATCGGAAGTCAAAGTTGACAACATGTTTGTTTTTTTAATATCTAAGATATCTGTTGTTCAATACCGAGCATTTCATACGAATTCTCTTTTCGTTTTTATTATTCATCGAAATATTTCGTGAATGATAGGAAATAATAAAAAAATGTCAATAATGAGCAATAAATAAATACATAAACAATTAAAAAATAAAAAAATTCCAAGTTTTTATTCAATACATTCAATACATTCTACTTGTTGATAATTCCTCCATTTTTTTTGATAAATAATTGATGAAAAATAGCAAGAGTCTCAAAAAAATAAACATCAAATATTAAATTTTGCACAAATTTTTTCGATATCTCATTCGAGATTGAAACCATGTTACAAAATTCTGTCACCCAGATTGCTCCAGAGAATCAAGGGAGAGTGGAGCGAATTCAACCGAAAACCGCCGTTTGTTGAAGTGAGTACGAGATATAATACTCCAACATGCTCCAATATGCTCCTGCCGTAGTTTCTACTCACTAATGAGCATAATGCATTGGAATGAGTAGGAACTATAGGTTTGTTCGCTTCGCATGTTCTAACATGCTCTAAAATGCTCCTACCATAGCATTTACTCGCTCTATCGCGCACATTGAAGTGAGTAGAAACTATAACAAGAGCACATTGGAGCATGTTGGAACATGCGACGCGAACAAATCTTATAATAGGAACATATTGGAGCATGTTGGAGCATGCAACGCGAACAAACCTATAGTAAAAGAGTGATGAAAGATACGGTGCTGCACACATTTCTGGATAAATGGCGGAACCAATTAAAGAAAAGAATGCTATCCGCTTCCTTAATTCTCTGGGTTGCCTAAAGGGAATTCTATATAGAAAACATTAGAAGAAGAAAATCAAAAGGTCGGTAAAAAATCTATACAAGGATCTGGAAGAAGAAAAAGAAAATCCCTGTTCAACTTATAACTGTTGTGGGAGCGAGGGGGAGGACGCAGATAGCTCTACACTGCCCATTAATGATTTTGCATAGTGGATACTCGAGTATTCCGGGTATTGAACGAAGGGGGGAAATTCGTGTATTGACAAGAAAATTAAACATTTTTTATACCTTGAACAATTGAGCTATATCCACAATTTTCGGGATACATCGCTTTCATTAATTCAGTATAAGTTACATATTCTCCATCTAATTCTTTAGTCCTGGTATCAAAATAAAATGTACCTCCATTGTCTCCATATTTAGTAATATGATGCACATTTATAATATACGCTGCTTCCTATTGAAATATAAAAGTTTTAAATAAAAGTTCTAAACATTTCTTCATATAATTTTTTGACAGTATATAATTATCCATATTAATATTAGATATGTTAATAACTTATCAGAATATATATATTCAGAATATAATGAAGATCCTACATAGAATAACTCATATCTCTTTTATCTATTAAATTATGAATAAAATGTTTCACAAAAACAAAATAATTTTGTAATATTACATTAGATAATAAAAACAATATATATAAATATTAAATAAATTTATATAAATATTAAAATTTTTTTTACCGAAAGTGTAGGATAAAGAATATGATCAAGATATACAGGCAGTAAGGAAAAAAATCCTTTTGTCTCACTTGTTCTCATACTGTAACAAGTATAATCCTGAAACGTATGAATCTCGGCATCAAGTGAGTAACATTTATGAGACCAGCGAGTCAAAAGATTTTTATAGGGATAGTCTTCACTACCCATCAATACAAGATGTGACACTGCTTCAGGAAGACCATCGTCTGTGAACACTTCGGTAGCTGAAAAAAAGAATTGGTATAAATATAAAAATGATTAAAAATACTTTGATGTTTCCTACTACTAACTTTTATTTCAATAATCTTTTCATTGAATAGGAATTAACATAACTTTGTTTGATTTGTTAAGAAAAGATACAGACATCTAGAATTAAATTAATTCCGAAAGAATTTTTTAGAATTACAATTTCGAAGTAGGGTGCCAACTTTACACACCCAATCTGTCATATTATGTCAACATATTTCTGCCATTAGAACACGAGCTTACTGATGACACTGTGCCAATTTTGATAAACTTTGCTATACCTCTGCCAGCATTCTATCAACAGCATTGTATGTACATACATGTAGCAAATATTTTGTAGTCTATTGTCGAGCAGAATCTATTCTCGACAGACTTATTGTTAGCTACCTAGGAGTCAAAGTGAAAGGGAGAACTCCATATAACATTATATCCTCTATTAACACGTATATTCAAAAATTACCGATAGCGAAGTGGCAGCTGACAATTGGATCACTTACGTCCGCGATACAAATTGTCAGGCCAGTTTTCAGGGATCTGTACATAGCAAGTGGTATCTTGTCGTTGATCATCATCGAATACACCATCCTGAATATCCCGTTTGTTGGCGGATTCACGTCCGTGATCTCCGCGAGGCGGGGAGTGCGAAAACCCGGAACACCCGGATATACAAACCTCGCGAAGTTCATTCACAAATTCCAGTTCTATTGTTCTGTACAGTATTACTGATCGATACTGCTTACTATCAGATACCGTGCCAGAAATATATACACTTCGTTAGAATGTTCTAAAATGTCAAGTGACATGGTATTGATATTGAAAATGTATAGTTCACGTCACGTTTGCTATAGATTTTCAGTACTATCAGTGCATTGCAGTGCATTTCCGGCCAATGGCTCCGTTCTAATAGATCGTTAGACTCCTGGACGCAAGTAGAAACACTATTTTGACAGACATGGCGAGGTATTCCAGTGACTCGGACTCGGACCATAGCAGCAGATACCGAAGAAAACGAAATCGAAAATCAAGGTAAAAAAACGCGAGAATAATATCTGATTCTATTGTTAATTTAAAGGTTAGGAGTTACAATTTTCAATTTGTACTCACATTATGTACATTTCATTAATTTTAAGTTTATTAATTTTATTATGCAATTTAATTTTAATTTATTTTATTTATTAAATAAATATTAACATTATATTTCTACTAGAACATGTTTAAAGTAAATATTTATATTGGTAGAAATGGATCTTATTGACAATCTTATTATTCATAAGCAGAATATTCAATATTATAATAATTTTTTTGCAGATCTAGCAGCTCAGACAGCAGTGAATCCTCGCCACATCGAAGGAGATCCTCAAAACATTCTAAAACAAAGCGTAAACATCGATCACACTCGAGAAGCAGAGGAAGAGATCGAAATTCAAAGAGCCATAAAGGATCCAGGAGCAGTCACTCGAGAGACCGAGATAAAAGACGTTACCGTGCTAGCACAGGTAGATCATACTCTTCAGATCGTACAAGAAGGAAGGCTAGATCTACATCCAGAGAAAAATCACGAAGTCCTTCCAGCAGTTCACAATCGAATCAACCGAAAATTAATACAGAGAAAAGCCAAGTCTTAATGACAAAAGGTAGAAACGCGTTGGCTTTTATGAATATTACATTTAAATATTTTAATGATATTTCATCACTAAGAGATACAAATTATATATTGCTTTTTAGATGATTTTCCCATTGAGCCACGTTTCAAAGATAGTGTACTTGAAGAAATAAACGCTGAAGGTTTCATTCCTAAGCAGTTCACTTCATCTGCTACCAAGGAGAGTAAATTTAAAAATATTGTAATAGACATTACTTCAGATACCATACAAGTTCCATTAGTATCTAATATTGCCAGTGGCCCGGAAAGTATATTTCATACATCAGTAAGTTTTAGTTGTTTTTGTATTTCCTGATGTACTCGTACATAAATAACATTTGTTCTTTCTTCTCAGATTATGATGGATCAAGAAGCAAGATTCGATAAATGGGTGAAAAAACTCTATACTCTTAGACAAAAAGCTATAGCTGACTTGACACATACAAATATGACATAATTTAAGATTTAAAAGATTTAGATTAGCATTTTTTAATACACAAATGCATATGAAAATATATTCTGCATGTGAAAAATACGAAAAACATATATATGCAATAATTATGTAATTTGAATTATATATATAATTTGAAATATATGTTATATATATATTCAAATATATATATATATATATCAATAATAATATAAATAAAATATAAATAAAAAATAAAAAATTTTAGCAACAAATTTAGAAATTAAGATAATAAAATTCTTTTGTAGATCTTTGGCTTTAAAATTTCAATTAAAAAATCAGTAAGATATTCGATATGCACTGACACTGACATTTATATGTATCATTTATTTTCTTGTCAGACTTTACAATTATTCGCGTACAGTTTTATAAATTTGGTTTTTTATAACGCCATAAAGCTAAGGAAACTTGTCAAAACTTATGAAGACAGAAATAGTGACTATAGGAACTTAACTACAATCACACGAAACGACAGAGAATCGTGTAACAATTCTATAATAAAGTTTAAATGCGCAGACAAAATTACGCGTCATCATGGAATTAAACAAAAGTTAATTGATATTAACAAGATATTTTGCATTTCCATCCCCACTCGGAAAGTGGTGGAACTAACTAATACGCTATTTATTGCCACCAGTGTTTAATCTACGTGTCTACGGACATTTAAAACGGTGTTTACGTACCGCATACTTATATATTTGCGTGTTTGTTTATTGGAGTTGATAATACAAGTAACAGTACATAACTAATACAGAATTATTATAAGTGTTCAGGCACTCGGTCCATAACATGATATCTGTGCAGACATTAATACATATTCCCTTTATTTCGGTTTGTTTACAAAATGGTTTTTTTTTATATAAATTTAAAGAAATCAATTCTCCTAATCTGATATTTGAAACGAGGCACAATATTTTTAATTACACATTACATTTAATATCTACTTCAATAATTTATATAAAAATCATTTTGTAATAAATATATTCCATCATAAACATTCTAGAATTTTTTTCCTTTTTAATATGCTAAAATCTTAGGTCATTTATTATTTGCATATTATTTTCATTACAAAGTATCTTGAATTGAAAAAACTTAAAAAGTCATTTCACAAAAGTGTTAATATTAGAATATCTATAGCACGCAGTCTAAGACTAATGAACATCCGAGTACCTGAATACGTTTGCCGACACTAAATGCTGTACGCGCGAATATATAATAAAATGTTTAAAAAAACTAAAAATAATTTCTCTTTGTATGTGCGTGACAATGCACGAAAATAAACTAATGGCAAAATTGCATTCAATCACGATCTTTATTCCAGTTTCTGATTCTTAATTCCAGTTTTCATGATAAATTGGCAATGAACTGGTATGCATAAAACGTATTTAAAATACGATACTGTATTATTAATATTTATTGAAGTATGTAACACGATTAGAAATGCAGAAGAGATAAGCATGTCTTACATGGAATGTTCAAACATCAAGACTTTTTCTCTTGAATTGGTTACTCTGCAACTTCTGTTTTTTTTCTCAATTGAAATTGTAAAAATATTTATATAGTCGCAGTAATCTTATGAATGTTAATCTGTTTTACATATTAATTACAATTGCAAACCCAATATATTTCTCGAAACACATTTTAAAAATTATTTTCAGTTTCGCAATATCAATAATTCGTGTTTTTATACCTCGAGCTTACTGTGTTTACACAAGCATTAACGCGATAGATTTTTTAAATAGAATTCACAAATGAATATATCTATAGTTTTACTAATGATAACGTATCGTAAAACTGCATCATAAGCGCAACCACTTAGTGCACGGCTATTCTACTGATTTTATCGTTTTTTTAACGCAGACATTCATAAATATAGTCAACAAGCTATGTGCCAGAATCCATAATAATAAACATTTTACTACTATGGCGTAACACTTGCTATCTGTTTAAATTGAATATCATACCACAAGAATATGGAAGAAATATTAATTTTCCTATATGATCCAGCAGACAATATACCATCCTGCTAAAACTTCTTGCATCTTTTTAATAGTGATTCAGTCGTTCACATTTAACTTCTCATGATATAGAGGAGTTTCTTATGATGTATTATATACTACAGATCGATAATAACAAATTGTGTATTAGCATTATATAATAGCCCTGTTCTTTTTAGCTGAATTTCTTGTACGGTTCATCATTTCTCTTTTTTTTTGCAACGTGGAGAGAAAAGATGAACCGCAAGAAGTGCAACTGAAAAAATAGACGTAAAGTTATCATTTAAAATTAATAGAAAATGGAATAACTAATAGAAATGGAAAGACTTACAAAGAAGATCTCGATAAATATGGGAAATGTAGTTGAAATATAGTTTAGAAAAATGTCAAGAATGAGAAATTAATTGATGCACAAATAAAATGCAAAGTAATAATTCTAAATTCGACGGAATATTTACCTAAGCTTGCCCTGGACAGCTTATAATTTTTATACATTGATCTACTGGTGGTTTTAATATTCTAGAATAATTGAAAATTCCCACTTCTCGATTTCTCATAATTTCATTCGAAGTCTTCTAAATTCACAATATCGACTTCCAAGATATTATTGCCGGCAAACTGTCCGAATACTCCGGTCTGTACTGATGTACTGCGTTTTACAACTGAAATATTTGAAAACATAATAATATATTATATGAGAAAGATTTTATCTTCTCTGGAAGAAATTTTTCTTAACATTTTTATGCAAATTAGAACATTTTTCAAAAATACTGAAAAAAATCAACATTTTTTTTTTATTATAATTATTCACAAAAATTATTCATAAGATTTCTCATTCTATTTTTGAAAGAATACTTTAAATTTTTATAGATTTCATAAAATTTCATCAGAATACAACAAAAAATTTTAGAAATTTTAGGATATTTAGAATTTACATATAAAGAATTGTAGAAAAGATGTAGACTTTTTCGGCACTTTTGAAGAGTGTGTGTATTTCAATTTGTATAAAATATTTGAAATTTTTTTAGAAGTTGTAAAATTATTTAGAAATTCGGAAAAATTTACAAAAAATCCTGAAAAAATATATATATATGAAAAATTTTCACCAGGATTGTATGGATATAACTTGAAATTTGATAACTAACTACTAGAAGAATTCACTTTCTGCAGCATATAAGTAGGCAAATCCTGGCATTCACGTGCTATGTATGTTCCAACGATCGACATATCGGTAATTGGCGGCGTGACTACTCTCATAGTTTCTCGTACGACTGCAGTGTTCACTTCATAGTAACCTGATATACAAAAATTGCAAGTTCATCATAATTTAATAATAAATAAATTATAATTAAAATTAATTAATTCAAATTAAATCACATACTTACCATTGTACATTTTTCTAAGGAGATCATACATATTACGAGGTGGCAATACGCGCTGACGATTCAGTGGCATGACAAAGCAACACTGACCGTCAATATCTATAATACCTGTCTTATTCTGTAAATAAACATGGTATCGTAAGAAATATGTCCCATGCGATGCAAAAAGTTTTGTTGTGATTCAGAAATACAATATTGGCCAGTATTTATAATAGTTTTTATTTTAAAACCATCTTAAATAATATCTTACGATGCTCTATTAATTTATCTTAAGATTATATTTAACATTTTTTGAAGATAAGAATCGATTATAAATTTCGGTCATCGACTCACAATGTTGAAATCGTGTATAAAGCGACCTTGTCGTCCACCGCGAAAATCAGGCACATCAATTTTCTCATAATGCTCATTCTCAAGATCAATCTCAAATCTCTCCTTAAAGAAATTATTAATATCATGATCTATGTGCCTTGCAATATCTAAAGCGTCCTGCTCCATGGCTCTGGTGAGACTCTTGGTAAACAGGTCAGAATCAGCCAAAAGTCCCTGATGAACTGCGTTATTGCCATAGGATGCTTTGTTCGAGCTATCATATGGAATGCTGTACCATCCAGTACTGAATCTGCGCATCTGAGTCCTGGCATACTGTTTGTAGATATACAGCCCACCAATCATGCCGATAAGCAGTATCGATAATGCAAGAAGAAAGAGCAAAAATGTTGTCGCCATATGTATACGGTGGATGCTTGTTCTAGAAATGAAGCAACGGCTTCTGGGGACCGCATCTGTTTTTGAACGTCCTGCTTCAGGATCAGCTTTTGCACCATCCTGTTAAAGAAGAATACCTATATTTAATTTATTTTTGAAATCTCTAAAGAAAATACCGTAAAAGCCTAAAAATATTATAAACAAGCAATTATTTGAATAACATACAATTATTTAATTATTTTTCAAAATTCAATTTAACTTGTAAAAACTACATCTAAAAAATGTATAACAAAAATTTAACAATTTTAAGGATTAACTTTAAGGATTAACTCCGTTTCCATACTACTTGACAAGATATATAATGAAAAACAATCAAGTGATTTAAAATCAATAAAAGCTAAAGAGGATTTCATTTTTTTGTAATCCTTTTTTAGATGCTTCATTTCCTTGTCATTTAATGTGTCATACATCATCTTTATTGAGGCATGTACTGCATCTGTCATGTTATAATATATAGCAGTATATTTTGTTCATTAATTTACTTGGCCTGGCTCTCTCGTTGGTGGATACTCATACATACATACACACACTTTGGTATGTGTGTGTGTACAATACATGTCAACACTATCGAACCCAAGCATTCCCTGCTGATAGCATAGAAACAAGTATACATAGATATAACGTACTTTAGCACATAAATTGACAATTTGTTGAATATGTACACATACATATGTATATATTCGACAAGAATTATTACCAGATATATGTGATACGTATACATTATACGTGTGTGTGCCAAGGGTTGCGTTAAGTGGCTTCGCTGCGCACAACGCGACCCTAACGCGATCAGTTATAAAAATAGCGATGTTCTCCGATCGCGACGGGGTCCTGAGGTGTCGAAAGAAATTAACGATCCGAGTGACGCGATCGGGCATTGCGAGCAAGGTGTGTACATATATACTAACCGCCGCGTTTTCCTCCACAAACAATGGCTGCTCCATTTTGTCGGACGCCTTCTTCTCAGTGATCGCTTTCGTGATTACCGTCATTTTCGTAGTTTTTCACACTGCGGACGCTGACGAAAGAATGCGATGCGAGTTGACGGTCCGACGCGCGTCAACTATGATAACGGTTTATCGGTTGGTGATAGAGTTCCTCGAAATCGAGGATGCGGAGTGAGGAATCCGACTGAACGGACGTACACAACGCTACAGTCAACTCAAAGCTTAGAACGACTCGGAGCGACTGCGGCGCAATGTTGGAAAATCGGTGTATCCGAGGGATACGAAATAAAATCCCTCGGAAGAGCGTTATACGCATGCGTAAGCTACGTCATCGACCATGTGACATTCTAATGATTCTTGGGACCTATATAAATTACAATCCGTATCTACATTATTTTTATTGATAAATGCGCATATTTAAAATATATTAAATGCTATATTAATATGTATAATGTTATATAGAAATACATACATATACATATAGTATTATGAATATCTAGATTTTTTGCTAAAAAGGATATAAGAATTATTTTTAGTTAACATACATATATAAAGTATAGAGTATTTATTTCACAAATAAAACCGAATTCTACCAAATAAATAAGATAAAGTTACAGACATTTTATTTATAAAATTTTTAATTTAATTTTAAATTTAATTAAATTTAATACGAGTCTACAGATTCAAATAATTTCATCGTATAATATAATTAATCTTATTACTAATAATATAAAATCAAATTTTTATCCTTCCTTTCCGCTTTTATTGATAAGTTTCCTATTATTTTGTAATTTTCTGTTTCTATTTCATGAGGAATTTTAATGATATATATATATACCTTTTATTACAAAAAAATTTGTTAATGGCTGCTGGTATTGGAAATACAAACGGGAGTACAAATTAGTTCGGTCCGTTTTTTTGTGTTCAAAAATACATTTATTTCAAAACAAAATGAATGAACAGATCAATTAAAGTATTGTCCATCGCTGCCTACTACTTTTTCCTATCTCTCAGGCAATTTTCGAATTCCATCTCGAAAAAATGACTCGTCTTTGGAGACGATCCAATTTTGGAGTCAATTTTCGATTTTTGCGAAAGGTGACTTGCTGCATCCTTCGGAACAATCAGTCCGGAACAATCAGAAGGAACAATGCCCGAAGAATACGGCGAGTGCGGTAAACATCCCATTTGAGATTTCCAAATATTTTTTTACGACTTTAGCGACATGAAGCCGAGCGTTGTCATGAAGAAGAATAACTTTATCATGTCTTTTCTCGTATTCCGGCCGTTTTTCTCGCAATGCACGGCTCAAACGAATCAATTGTAGCCGATCTGATCGCTCCTAATGGAATCACCAGGTTTCAGCAGCTCATAGTAAATAAGACCCTTTTGGTCCCATCAGATACAGAGCATGATCTTCGAACCAATGTTCGGCCGTGGTGTTGATGTTGAAGTCGATGGCAATGATTGACCGGGCTTAGCGTAGTATTTTTTCTTCTTGGAGGGGTTGTTGTAGAATATCCACTTCTCATCTCCAGTCACAATCTGATTGGCTTTGAATCAGCTGTTCGCAAGTGAAAAATCGCTTTTCAAGGTCTCTCGGTTTCAATTCATAAGGCAATTTCCTTTTTGAATTATTCCCATGGCTCTCAATCGTACAGAAACGGCTTGTTGAGTTACCCTCAATAATTCTGCAAGCTCCTCTTGCGTTTGACTCTGATTTTCTTCGAGTAATGCCTCTAATTCTTTGTCTTCGAATTTTTTTGGCTGTCCAGAGCGAGACTTGTCTTCAACGTTGAAATCTCCTTGAAACGTCGAAACCATTCCCTACATGATTTATCAGTTGGAGCAGTGTCACCATAAACTTCGACAAGCATTCGATGGGCTTCAGCCGCACTTTTCTTCCAATTAAAGCAGAAAATCAAAACCTCCCGCAAATGCTGCTTGTAACACAAATTTGACATTTCATATACAGTAAAAATCAAGATTTTTATATGAAACTCAAAGTGATATAAACTGAATATTATTAGCAGATGTTTAACCTCTCTGAAACCGCCAAAATCAGGTGTCACTATGAACCATTCACAACTGGAGCCATCTTTAGGGAAACAGACCGAACTAATTTGTACTCCCAATACAATTGCTTTATTATTGCGCGAAGCGCATGTCCTAAATAAGGTGTGTTCTGTTTCATACATAATGAGCATAGTAGAAAACTCAAGAGATTGAGGTTGCATTGAAACTTGATCAATCAAATCAAAGTTTACTAAAATTAATGTTGATTTCCTTTTCTTTTAATTAAACACTAATACTCTCAAGATCACCAACTCCGATTAATTTTAATCGACGGTTAGTCCGTGGAATCTGTCGTTGACAAATGCGATTGGTTAATTCCAATGGACTAATCAGCGAAGTTGATCGAAATGACCCTCAATCTGTATCAGGAAACACGATGAAAATTACAAAAATGGTCAAATTATTAGATGTTGATCTATGAAATTATAAATAAACTAGTAAATATTTATGCACTTTGTGATTTTTACTTGAACCTCGTTTCAAGATGTAACAGGTTTTTATTCTTGAAAAGAAACGTTACTCATATACTATATAGTACTTCTCTAATTTTTCATATATGTTTCTTTGCAAAAATAAGTTGTCGATTAGCAATTAAGTTGTTCCATTATTCCGTCTGCAATTTGACAGCTTTATTAGAGTGCAGAGTTAAAGTCCGGATCTACAATAGATTTTTAAGTCATAAGAAATGGAATCGTAATTATTCTTCTCGCATTCGGTTATAATTGGTCAGTTGTTTAAGACTTAAAACACCTATTGTAGATCATTTGAACTTGTAGAGTATAAAAATTTATAGTTCTGTCGCATATTTTGTTTTCGCGCCATTCTTTTTATCCCGACGGCGGGAATTAGCGCCAATCAAGGAAAAAAGAAGAAGAACCTTCGAAACACTCTTCTAGATCTAAAAGTATGATCCAATCAGTGCGAAAAAAATGTTCAACTTGTAAGTTAAACATTCTGCTGAATGCAATCATTGATTCATCACCTTTTACTAAACTCTTATATCGAATCTGACACAACAGAGGAATTGTGAATTGTGCTTTTGTAAAAATGGAGTAACGCCATACAGGGAAAATCCCAAGGTGAGTGTCTTGTCAACGAAAATTATCCGGATATACTTTTTCCCTAATTCTACATTCCATCTTCATTCGAATTTTGCTAACTGTCTAATCGAAGAATGCTTTAAAACATTTGTAGCCCCATATTAATTGTATTTTTAGTTTTATTTTTTGAAGTTATAATAATAAAAATGTTTTATCTTCTTGAAACATCAAAAATATAGAAATTCACAAGAAAGGGTTTCGAAAGAATAAACAGTTTATGTTAAATTCAGTTTTTGACTTTGTAAAGTTATGATAATAAGAAATGTTTTGTTGTCTTTCAGAAATGTCAAAGTAGCGAAATAAAAGCTTTTCAATAAAAATTTTCAGTTTGTTGAGTTCATTGAAATAAATTAGTTTTGTATTTCACCTAATTTATTTGCACTAATTTGTATAATTATCAGAAAATGAGAAAATTGTGCTAAGGATACATCTTTCATTATTAATATATTTCTTAATCAAGAACAAAAGAAAAGGTATAGTTATTGATTTTAGATAATCAAGAATCTCTCATTTTTCTAGATTTTTATAATTTATTCAAATATATGCATGTTTTATTAATACTTTAATTTATGTATATATAATATAATATGTAATAAAAGTTTATTATTTATTGTGAATTAATCTATTTTTAGGAAACCATAGTTAAGTTTCCGATACAAGCGAAGGAATAATTGTTGACAGTTTGGATAAAAGAACAAAAAGATCTTTAAAATAAAATGAACCGTGAAAGTAAAGTATCGGATGATACCAGTAATTATTCAGAAATAAAAACATTTCCTAATACAAAAAATTCTGATAGCGAGGAATTTAGGAAGGTGCAGTCAAATTCTTTAACAGATTCACATATCTCGAGAAATATAAATAATTATGATATTACATCTGAGAGCAATGTCACTTTAAACAAAACTAGTCATATAATCGAATTTGATAACAATATCGTTTGTGAAACTCTTCAAAATCAACAAGTAAATGAATCTGTAGAACAAACAAATGAACCTGTAGAACTTTCTGCAGAGATTAAGATAACAACTAATAAATGTGACAAAACTAATTATATGCTAAAAGAAAAATTCTATTCTACCAATTTAAATTTGGTCGATTTATCACAAGCTACTACCTCACAAGATTCATTTCTTTCTTGTACTAACGAAGAAAGCATATTGCACACAGATCAGAATAAAATCAAAAGAAATATCTCGAAATGTCAAGTACAAACCAATAGCGACACATCAATAGAAAAATCAGACGATAGTTCAGATGAAGTTTTGAGTAAGCGACAAAAATTAAATGAAAGTGTGTGCAATGAAGGAAACTTAAATGACAATACAGTGACATTTCAAAGAAACACATTAATAGCGGAGCAGCAAAATTATCATTTGATAAATGAATCAGCTAAGAATGAATCATTGAATACAAATTTAGGAACAGGATCAGAAACTGCTACTAATTACCAATCTAATCCATATAGACATGAAGGTTATTATTTTTATACTTTTTCAAATATTTGCATTATTTGGTAAGATGTAAAAGTTTGAATTTTGAACATAGATAATTGGAATGAATGGGAAGCTTCTAACGAGGATGAATGGGAGGAAGAAGAAGAAGAAGAAGATGAAGATGAAGATGAAGATGAAGATGAAAACAATAAAAAAATAGTTGATTACCAAAAGATAAAAAAAATATCTCCTAATTGGCATATTGTACCGGAAGTGATAAATCGCCAAATAGGTAGCAATCCATTATTCGAAAGACGGTTCTATAGTTCTCTATATGCAGTAGAACGGTTCCAACTTATGTATAAACTTCATCCATTCGTATCGGTAAATTATTTATCTTGTAAATGTTATACGTTGAATTACGCAGATTTAGATATTATATTGAAAGTATCACTAAGCTGTTCTCGTATCATTATTTAATGGTATTCATTGACATTTGATTATTATTTATAGGATCATGAAACAATAGATATCTTAAATTTCAATCATAAAGGAAATTTATTAATGTGTGCCGTTTATGATGAGATCTCTATTTGGGATTGGGCTGCAGGGAAAAAAAGTTACTTCTTTAATAATGATAACGTCCCTGTATTACACGTATATATTTATAATTAATTATAGCATTTTGTGATTAGAGTGTTGTATAATAGTTATTTTGATGTAATTATATTAAAAGAATTTTTTATTAATCTTTTTCAAGGATACATTCCAAAATGTCCTCTCTGAGGAATATTTTA